ACGTCCACAACAAACGATGCATAACTGCTACGCTTGCAGCGATTGTATTTGTATTCGCCAAAAGCATTGGTAAACCGTTCACAAGATTAAATATTTCAAAACCCATCACTGCCCATAAGCTGAAAACAACACCTGCTTGCATGATTTTAAAAAACACCGCATGAACTTCGTTCGGTTCGACCACTGATATGTAGACCGCATGTAAGTGTGCAAGAGGTATCCATTAAGGCTCAATATAAATTGATCGTCATCTCTGTAATCTGTTCCCACAGAATAAAAATCTTCAATGATTCCATTCTCTTCTACTGTTTGCGTGTTTTCACCAGAATTACTCCTTTCATTGAGAGGTTGGCCATGATTGAGAATTGTTTCATTTTCAATCACTGTTTGTCCGCCTTCAGTTATGAAAATAACAGTCCTTGACCCTGATGTTTTTGTGTTTCTGTCCCGCGCGTTTTCGAGCACGTTCGCATCCTGAATCACGCTTCCAAGATCAATTAACTGAGTATTTGCCGGTAAGCAAACAGAACACAGATGGTCGCCATCAGATACATAACATGTTATATCGTCTGCACTTCCGCCCGCTGAAAACGCCAACAACTTTTCGGCGATTGAAACTGCAAGACCCTGCGAAGGGATATTTTAGCCATTCTTGGTAATTTGAACTTCCCGTTTCGACACGGAACCTGAATTCCTGTTTCTTAGAAAAACCGCTGGAAAATTTCAAAGCTATTATTATTTATTCATGAGCATGCATACTCGCCAAATACCTTTTTCTCCGAAGTTTTTTTTTAAATCATTTAAATGGGAAGACAACAAAAACCATACGCACGCTTGTAAGCTACTCTTGTGCATTTGTTATTGCAAGTTTTACCTTTTCCTTTGAAATCAAACAAAAAATTGATTCAAAGTTTAAAAGACCTGAATAAAAAGCGAAGATTTATTTTCCATCACTTCTAAAAGAAATGCCAACTTATGACTGAAGTAAGTTACTGTTTATTAAATAATAAAGATTTTACCAGTCTGCCGTCTCACTGAAGTTTTATTACGTTGTTCCGCTGAAGAATCCATTTCCATTTCCAATTGAGGCCTTTTAAAGTGGGATCAATTTTTATTGATGTAGTCGATGAGAAATGTAAATTATATTTCAGAACTAGATGCATTGTTTAAACAAAAGAAATAAAAGGTTGATCAGAGTTTACTAGGCAAGAGACTTATATTGTCTAAAATATAGTCTTTTATTGTTTTTTTTTTTCTCTGAATTTTTATTAGTCACGTTATCACCGGAAACTCTCTCTCAAATTTAG